ACGGGTGGACCTAAATGAATATTATTGATGTTAAGATAAATATTGAGCATGGTTGGTTACATTATTGCAATAATAAATAAATACTGGTGAATCACCTGCATAATTAGGACGAACCCTTTTATCATATCTGCCATCAAAGAATTTATTTAATATTTTCGTTATATTCATTCCAAGTGTGGTTTGTCTGTTCAATCAAATTTGAATTTATTTTTCAAAATTAATCTCTGAATAAATCTTATTTATTAAATATTTTTATAAAATCAGTACAATTTATTTAATATTTTCGTTATATTCATTCCAAGTGTGGTTTGTCTGTTCAATCAAATTTGAATTTATTTTTCAAAATTAATCTCTGAATAAATCTTATTTACTAAATATTTTTATAAAATCAGTACTAAAACCATTAAACATTAAAAATTCTTTAACAAAAATAATAAAATTAATAAAAAATATCTATTAATTATATCTAAGAATTGCATACAGAATACAGAATATATAGCAATACTTACTTTGGGGATTGATTTAAACATATATTTACAAAACTCAAGAATATTATAAAATATTTTAAATCCATATTTATATTATATTTAATTTTATAATTAATTCATGAGTATTAGTGTTAATTAAATATTTGATTCACTAGTACTGTAATAAGATTTAAAACGTTTTATAGCTAATAATAAATCTCTAATTAAATTTAAATCTAATTATCTGACAAATTTTGCTCTAAATATATAATAATATTCTTTACAATTTTCAAATTATATCATATTTAAAGATTGATCAAGATAGTATTGTTTGGTTAAAGATTTCTAATTTCAAAAATGATTTGAAACATAATTGCAAGATTAATTTAAGATTCAAAATTAATGTTTTGTTTATCAGAAGATATTTCTATGGACTGAATGTATGGACCATTTTTTGGTCAAATACGCCGATCTTTTGCCATATTTGGTCTTAAAGCGCATGTTTGACGAGATAATGGTCTCAACTCACGAAACATACAATATTTGGGAAACAATTCTGTGATTAATTCTGTTATTTATTAAATTTTATTATTCATGACATTGAAAGAGCAGAATACTTATGAATATATTTTTATGCTTATTGTTTAATAATCTGTCAAATATCACACAATTCTTAAATTAAAATCATTGATTATTCAGTTTTTGATCAAATATTTAAATAGACTCCTAACGTAAATAAATATGAAATATATTTATTTATTTATATCATAAGTAATTCTGAATAATATTTGATTTAATCTTAAATTCTGCGAATAAATTGCTTTATATTACCATTAGATACAATGCAAATAAATATATTAATTATAATTAATATAAATATAAATAATAAAACAAATATATAATAATTTGTTTCATTTATCTCGGATTTGATACAATATTACAATTTGCTAAACAATGTTACAATATGTCTCTAAATTTATATTTTATGTAACGTTTGATTCAAATACAAAATTGGGTCAAACATAACGAGAGGGGTTAAGAAGAGAGAGTGAAGGGAAAGGCTGTAATGTGTGAGCCATTCCTCTGGAGTGGTGAGCAATGAACTGATCTGTGGATG